ATGTTTAAGGTGCTCCATCGGGTTCGCCCATATATCTTCCTTAATAACCTCAGCAACCTGCAATTTGCGAACAATAAAACATTATTAAACGAAAATACCATCCAAGATTGCATTTAGTTACCAAAACTCAATACTTCCAATTACTAACACCCCTTATACAAATACATGGAATGTTTTATAATTATGCAAAACCTTTGGTGTGGTTTTCGAAATTATTCATACTGCGGAAGAGAAGTTATATTCGTTCTTCAAACAATAAGTAGAGTAAAATAAAGCTTACGGGATCCCCATCAGCCTCTAGTGTATACTCTGGGCGAAACCCGAACCAGTCAAAGAAGCTGGTATTCACGAAAGCGTGTTTCAGTGAGAATAGCATAAATTACAGGCTTTTGCCTATTTATCTGAATTGTGAATATCAGTAGTAGTCGAGGCAATAAATAAGCGATAATAACCTGTGTTGAGGACATGGCCTTATGTCACTGAATGCAGATGGGTCCTGGCCATGCACAAATCACTCTAACTTAGGAAAATATCAGAAAAAAGACAAAAAAGAAGACAAATTTATAGATGGACAATGGTTTGACTTTTACCCAGCCCGGCTTCCAATTGACAGTCGTGCCAGTTGACTTCAGAGTCCCGTCGTCAAAAAACTCCATGGTCTTGGTCAGTTTGGTGTTCTCAAAATACGGGTTGGGCTTGAAGTCCTGACAGCTCACAATGAAGAAGAAATTATGTACAAAAACTGGAATGTTCGTCTTTTCCGCTCGTTGAAAAAAATGATGTTTTCGGCAGGAAATTACAAATGTGAGAATGGAAAAATTACGAATGTGATGCAATAACCCGTCCTGTCGTCTTTAAAGTTCTCCACGTGAAGAGAGTCCAAGTACGCAAATATCTGGATTTCACACAATCATAAAGAAAATATTAGTCTTAAGGATATTAAACATTTATATAGGTAAGGACAAATAGTCTCGTTTGGTGCTCGACCAGTCTGTCCTCCGCGTTCAACAGATTGCTGATTCCAGGATAATTGAAGAACTGCAACAAGAAGAGGGCAATACAGACACATCATTGTTAATTGAAGTTGAGTGAACTGAAGAGTCATGATAATCAATAGAGAATAAGAAATGACGTGTGAGCTTACCGAAGCTGACCAAAAGTTCGGTATGCCACTGATGATCTCAGCTCGCTTTACGTATACTGGCTCTCGCGCTTGGTCGTATTTTTTCTCTATTTCTAATATCTCACGGCATTCTTCTCTATTAATCTACATAAAATTGCAGATACAAAAAAATGAAAATGCATTTTTTTTTTGTTTATTTTAAATGGGGATGCTGGGAATAGGAAAAATATAGGAGGTACGAATAGTATCTTGTAATAGTTAATTCAATTCAATGACAAATAAGGAACAGAAAAGGCAAAAGAAAAAACTCATGAGATAAAATGATTTGTATACATATAGTTGGTTTGCATGGGGCAGCAATCAATTACTCAGACAACAAAGGCCAGATCACCTCGTTAATTTACTATAATATAATCTGCCGTAAGATAAAGATTCAGCAACTGATGAATAGATCAGTTTGCCAACCGTACACGCACATAATTATTGTCGAACATCTTAATAAGCAGGTTCAACTAGTACCTGACTTAAATAGGAATATCTCATTATAAGCAACACGTGTGCAACTGGACAACAAAATGAATTTAGAAATAATTGCTACGATCTATTATGAATTTAAGTTATTAATCAGTGTTGACTATAGCGAATCATATCTCATATCCAACCCTAAGGGATGTAAAATCAATTACCAAAATGAACAATAAAACACAGCCGCAATGTCATGTTAGTAACCAATAGAAATAATATCCCAACCAAAAGTTGTTTTATCCATAAACATCTCACCAAGTATGTGATCCTTCAATATAAAATAGATAAACTACTTTTGTCATTATTTTTGTGGCACTACAACAACAACATACCCAGTATATTCCCAACAGGTTGAGGTCTGGGGGGTCAGTTGTACGCAGACCTTACCCTTGTAATTATACAAGGAGGTTGTTTCCGTAGCGACCCAAGGTGCATTGCGCCATTTGATATATTTTTTTTCATGTTGGAAGAGTCATTGTTGACAATTCTCCTGGCATAGTGCTAATAATGGACTAGATCAAAATGGCTCAATTAAATTCTAGTGCTAATAATGGACTAGATCAAAATGGCTCAAAATGGCTCAACAACATTTCGTGGCACTCAAAGTTTTAATATAAGAGCAAATAACTAACATGAAGAAAGCCTTGCAACATAAATCAGATAAATTTTACAAACTGCAATGGCATTGATAAAGAAGCACACGTACGTATAAAATATACATATATGCATACATATAAATATGTATGTGTGTACCTTCATACAACTTTTTTCCTACAGACTTAAACTTATTTGATTGTCCATTCTAGACACCACATATAATTTACATCCTGAATGTTTCCACGATATCAATAAATGCTGAAGGAAATACAATCAAATTCAATATTTCACATTTAAGATATAAACATTTCGTACCAATTGGCTTAAAAGAACATCATATATAATGCAGTCCTAATTTAGTCTGGAATTCGGATCATCTCCTTTCTGCTCTCATCAGCTAGAAATGACAAGCATGTGAAGATATTTCTTTACTAAAAAAAGGAATTAAAACACACACACACAAACACACATAGAGACCAACCATGAATTTTCTACATAGCAATTAATCCAACAATAAAATAATCAACACGTATAATTGAGAATCAGACATCACATAAACAAGAGTGCAACAACCCAAGAACATTTCACCATCAGCAAATCCAAAATTAAATCAATGCAACAAGCTTCTAGTCATCCAAAATCACCTCATCAACCCTATGCAGATATTAAAAATACAAAAATTAAATTAATTAAGAAACGAAGAGGCTTAACGAGGCGAAAACCTTTTGAAGCTCGTCCTGAGCTTCCTTAACCTTCTCAATGGCGAGAGCCACGTCATCGGGTCCAATGACCCCGGCGTCTCCCGCCTCTGCCGCCGCGGTCCTCGATCTCTTGGCTCGGCGGTCGGACTCCATTTTTTCTCCTCGCCGTCTCAAAACCTAGTCTAGCCCGAGGCGCACGAAACCCTAGGTCGCGGTCCGGAAAACTCCGGCGCCCCACGGACATGGATGCGGCGTATAAATAGCGAGGGCGGTGCTTGGGATTATGCGAATGAGATTTTGTGTGCAAAAAAGGCAGAGAGAAAAAGGAAATGGAGTCTCTCTGTGTTGAAGGCAAGTGTACAGAGCTGAGGCTGCACACATTGTCAAGAGCTCCTTTTAGTGTATTGGTGCTAATAATAATAATAATAATAATAATAATAATAATAGAGTGCTAATACCTGAGTGTAATATATGGGTGCTAATAAAATATTTATATTTATATTTATATAACAATATTTCTGTTTATTTAAATTTATAGTTGTCTCTTTAAAAAATTATTTTGTTAATAAATTAGAAAAACTTAAAACATTCTTTTTTTTTTTCTTTTTTTTTGGGTAATTTTTCGTTCTCCATATGTGGTTACTAGTAAGACTTTTATTTTCAGTTTAGGTAATGCAATATACTTTGTTAGGTAATTCATGCAATCTTCCTTAATAACTAGTACGAATCCCTTGCGATGCATGATTAAGAGATTCATTAATATTTATAAATTAAATATGCTCATTAAATAATATTTATAAATTAAAAATATGTAATCAATAAATAATACAATTTACCTATATTAATTTATTAAAAATATTATATGAAATTTAAATTGTGCAAAATTACATGAAAAGTGTAATTTTAAATTAGTATACTGCACATAACTTATAATAAATTACATTGTATTCATTTAAAAAAAATATCATTTTAAAACTTTTATACAAAAATTCGATTTGAATACAATGTGATTCTATCAAATCATTATTTTGGTAAAATTTTATTGTATATTTAAAAATATATGTGAATAATATGTATAATTATAAAACTTATATTGTTTCATTAACTAAAATGAATATATTTTGGTTAAGCGGTCCAAATCAAAAAAATTAAGTAAATGAATAATTTATTAAATTATAAATAATTGACTATTCCATTTACGTCTAAGTTAATATTGACATAGAAGTTATAAATAATTACTTATTTGGCTTTTAAATTTTGAACTCAAATTTGGAATAAGCAGTAAATTTCTCTTATATATTTCACACACACACACACATATATATTATCTCGCAAATTTATAGATTTAATGTGGGATATCTTTCATTCAAATCTATCGACTAATTCTCTAGAACTAAATTACAAACTTTAAATTTTATTAACCAATATTTGTTCAAAGATCTTTCTGATTATCAAGATGAATACATATCAATTTGTCGAATCATCGTCAATATCTTATGGCAAGTTATTATGTGAATATATTAAAATTTGAACATCATATCACCTTTATTTTATATCAATCAACCTAAAATTCGACTTTCATACTCATACCAAATAAAATTCATACAATTTATTTTGTTTTCAAAATTTTCAAATATATTTATATCCATACCCATTAAATTCAGAGATTTCATACCAATAAAATCGTCCACTAAATTCAAACATTTAATAATAACACCACAGTTTATATATACAAAAAAAATGATCTTCGGATACCTCAAATAAAATCGCTCGCTTTAAAATAAAACCGATTTTTTTTTTTATTTTTGTCATATATTGATTAATAATTTGTAGAGGCATGATTTTTTGAAAATTTTCAAAAAAAAAAATTATCATATTTAGTAATTTTAAAATTTTTAGTCGGGAATTTAGTAATTCAAATAAATACAACCTTATATATATATATAAGTTTAAGAGGAAGGAAAAAAACAAAATGTTATTATGATAATCTAACACTTGAAGAGATTACATGAATTAGGACAATTAATTAGTGAAATATAAGATTGATTGCAGTAATTCTGAACAGAATTGCACTTGACTTATATATTTTGACAAGCATTTGGGTGGACCATTAAGAGCATGCTTGGATATAAAAGGTTTTTATTTTGATTGGATTTTTGGTTTGAGTTGGTTAAATTTGAAAAAGTTGGTCTGTTTAGTTGTTAGTGAGTATATTAAAATAATATTTAAATAAAAATGATTAAAATTAAATTGATGTAAAAGTAGGAGAGAAAAGATGTGATGTAATAGTTAGTTAAAATTATGTGAGTTGATGAATAGTGAATTAAGGCTGTTGATTGATATTATTTAATTATATTGATAATATTGATGATAGTGAAATTGAGTTAAAGTTGAGTTAAAAAGTGGTCTGATGATAAAATATGATCCTTCACGTGATTAGTATTCATTTTTATCCAGCGACGCTGCAACAGGGCAATAAATACAAGAAGATATTTAATAAAATTCGCTTAAGAATACGTCATAACGACTATTATTTGATTCTCAATTTCTTTATTGATTGTTGGTTGAATTTAGGCTATCATGAACATAAGATCGACGTAGAAATGTAGAATAAAGCAAAGAGATGGCACTCACAAGCATGATTGCATGAATACTACCACCAACACTACAATGACCAAATCGAAATTGTATATTAGCTTTTGCAAACACTTCAAGTGTTCGAATGGTTCGGATTGCTGGTGTTGTCTTCGAGATAGAAAGTGTTACCCAATTGAGGAAATGTGTTTACCTAAAGTGCCCGCATTATGGTAATCCGCCGTACTATCTTAAAGATCCTCGTCAAATATAATTTATATTATGATAAAAATTAGAATTTGTTTAACATATTTTTTGTGTGAGGCGGTCTAACTATTAGGCGAATCGACTCGGCATACTTTGTGAGAAAAAAATGCATATTTATATATATTATCCAAAGTCATGCTTTTTTGTATTATTATTTTAAATATAATATTTTCTAATAAAAGTTTGCATATTGACTTCGCCAAAGCTGTTTAAGCAGTTAGGGTGTGATTGTTTATCAATCCAATTAAAAAAAAAACCAATCAAAACTCAAATTTAACTCAACTTTAACACAACTCCACTATTTCCATTATTACCAATATAATTAAATAATTCCAACCAATCATTCTTACACATCATATCAACTTTAATTCACTATTCATCCACTCACATAATTTTAACTAACCATCATTTCCAATCATTTTTCTCTTACTTTTACATCTATCAATTTTAATTATTTTATTTTAAATATTATTTTAATATATCTACTAACAACTAACTATACTAACTTTTTTCAAAAGTAACTATAGTTAAAAAAAATCAATTAATTTCTAGATGAATTGATAAACAATCACCCTCTTAATGGTTAAACAGACCTAATGAATTATCTAGTGGCACATTAGATATTTTTCTAAAAGGACTTATCTGGATAATTGTCCTCGTTATAAAATAATCAAGTTGTGATGTTAAAAACTACAAAGAAAAACAATATATTATTACATTAAGCTAAGCATTTGGAAAAAAATGTTGTTTATATGTTTATATTTCTATCAAATTATATTTACTTAGGACTTGTTTGTTTCATGCGAAAAGATTGAATTAAATTAATACGTATTGGGTGAATTGTTCTGTGTGGATTAAAGGAAATTTATATTTGTCGTAAGTGATTGACATTTCTGAAAGGATTGTGTTTTATTCTAATAACCGATTATTTCTCTCGATAATTTATAGGATAAAAATGTAAATCTACAATTTCATCCTTAACTAATGTGGCACATAGTTCTTCTTGATTTTTAATTTTTATTTTTTTGCTGCTCTGCATTTCTGGTACAGTGGGGGAGGAAAATAAATCATGTGAAAATAAAATTATGGAAAATACAATAGTGGGCCTAAGCTAAATGGGATTACAATAGCAATGCCCACAGAATTACTTGAAAAAGTGGCAGACACCAATAAAGCGGTTTCATATAATTTTGTTCGTTCTGTTTTCAATTTTCCACTTTAAGAGATAAAAAAGGAATATATCAACAATCAATTAAATAAATAATATGAGAAAGCAGAAATTGGATAAGAGAGTCCAATAGAAATTAGGCCCATTTGTCTTCATCATTTTGCCAGAAAAGAATTCTATTTCAAGAAACTCAATGGTACAATTATTATATTCTAATTGTCAAAAACACAATTATTTTGTCATAATTTTGCTTGTGTTTAAAATACCCAGTCATGCTTTGTACAATTGAAATATAAAAATCATATTTCAAGTTTCACTATGATCGTGAATATGCAGTAATTCAAGATTTGGGTACACAAACACTAATGCTTGTTTAAGAAAAAAAAGGGCCTAGTCAGGTGTAAGATTACTTTTAATAAATAATTATATTTTTTATTATTAGATGTTATATTTTGAAATAAAAATATTAATATATGAAATTATTAAATGTACTAAAATAGTAAAATGTCATATTTTCATACTATTCAACTTGTACATACTTTTTAAATAAAAATATATACGTTAAAGTTATATTTTCTTATAAAAATATCACAACAGAATATAAAAATAAGCACAATAGTTAAAAACCTGGGACTCTATTGGTATTATTCAAGTTGAGTCGAACTGAGTACTTTGTGTTTTGAACTTGTGCTCGTACTACGAGTCAAAAGCTCAGGTCTTTTACACTCATAAAAGTTCGTCTCGTTTAAAAACCCCCAAATTATAAACAATATATGTTTGGCTCGGATGTTCATTCGAAACATATAAAAAAATAAATTGTTCGAAGACGAATTTGACTCGATTCATTTAATAAATGAACTCAATTTGTTTAAGTTAACGAACAAGCGCATCAAATTGTGGTTGCAAACATATTATTTAAAAGAACTACCTAACAAGTGGACATGTGAGACATGAATGCTATGAATTATTATAAATTAATCTCATAATAATTTTTCTTTTGATAAAAGTGTAAAAATGTAATCTTTAAAACACATTTAGGGAAGACCTTGCTTAAAGTCTCAAGAGACTACCATAAACTCATAACCATCAAATTGGAAAGGTACATTTTTTTTTTCCGGATTTTAATTTTCTGTTGCATTTCTATCAACTTGATTAATTTGAAGGAAAGTGAGAGCAGACGACTAAAATATCATTTTTCCCACGTGATATCAATATCAATAAAATATCCAATCATATTTATCCAAAAAAAAAAAGAGAAAAAAATATATTGAGTCCATTAAATCCCAAGTGGGAGCGTCCGAGGGAGAAAATTGAAAACCCAATAAAGTGTTTTAAATTGGTTGCTATATTATTCACATATAATTTTTCAAAAGTTAATAATTATACGACTTGGTCAATCACATTTAGTTATATAAATTTGTTTACATTTAAATTGGGTTGACTACGGACTATGGAGATAATTAATGGTTTATATTTAAATTGGGTTGACTTTGGACTATGGAGATAATTATTGACAACATACCGTTTCTAAACTTAACGCCTAGCATTTACTCTTTATTCAAACAGATTTCAAATTAACAATATTAGCAATATATGTTGGTGACCACTCTATTGTATTAATCGTATTACAACATTAACGAGTGGCATTATATAATAATGGTCATGCTATAAAAATATAAAAGAGCATAAAATCATCAACTTGAAAAATGGGCAATCGCTTTACCTTACATAACTCTCTACCAATTTTTACTAACTTTTTCTTACCCAAAAAATCCCCAAATTATTATTAGCAATAGTATTTGATCATGTGCATAAAATAGCTCTCCACGAATAGCGATTTTTAGAAATCGTTCCATATGTATACAAAAAGGTTGCAATTTCATCATCGACCTGTTGAAAATTTTAAAAGTAGTCAGATTTGTCCATGTGTCGTCCCAGTTGACCAAAATTGCTGATGTGGATCACATGTGTCGTAACTGTCGTCTAGGTGGCCAAAATTGATATTAGATTTTTAAATAAAATTATAATAAAAATGCCACATCATTAAAAAAAGAAATTGATAAATTATTAAGAAAACAACATTATTAAATTTAATTATATAAAATAAAATAAATAATTTTTAAGAGCAAATAAACAATTCTTTCATTTTTTCTATCTTCTTTTTCTTTTTTCCTTTGTTTCTTCATTTTCTCCAAAAGCGTTGTCTCTTCGCCGGGGGCCGCATTTGAAATCCTTTTCGAGCATCGCGGCCACCCATTGTTTAGAATAGCGAGCTATGTAGCTTGCTATAGCGTTTTTTTTTTTTTTTCGAAAAGCTTACGGAAAATGCTGAAATGACATTTTTTTGCGCTATTTCATGCTATATTTAGGAAAAGACATTTAAACAATAAAATATTCAAAACTTGTATTTCTTGTATTTTTTTTAGGGATCAAAGTCACATTTTGAAAGGACAACTTAAAACTAACAATTTTGATAATGATTTCAAATTAAAAGTTTGAAAATACAAAGTCCTAAGTTCAATAGTGCAATATTTATCGGTCTATTTCTATTATATCATTTTATTTTTCGGTATTTGATATTTAAATTAAAGAATACAAAGTTTAATTCTAGTGGTTAGAATTAAGTTGTATTTAAATTAAAAAGTTAATTACAATGTACATACTTAATATTAAACTATGACTTACCATATTATATTTCGTTGTTTGTTTTTGCTTTTTTAGTATAACTTTATTATTTAAGTATTCATATTAAGATATCTACAACACGCAACGTCATTTACACTACGCAATAAAAAGACAAAAATGCGACGTGTTACGCTATACGCGTTTTAAAACACTGCCGCCACATAGGCCCCACTTTGTCCTCCCAAAGCTTTTTCAAGTCCTCTTGCAAAACCGTCAAAGTTTGCCGAGCTTAAGTGATGCTAGAAACTTGCTTTAAACCTCATAACCAAAAACTCGCCATCGAATCACAGCAACCACAGTGTGCAGACGATCTCGATCGGGTTCATAAGATTTGGATCTGCTCTCTCACTTGTTCGTAGACCTACAAAATTGGCTGGGAGGGGTTCCCGACATTAGCACTCCGACGATCAAGTCAGATCACAGATGAAGAAGACATGAATAGTAATGAAAGCTCTGTATGTAGAGTGTGTAGAGAATGTAATATTAAAATGGACATACCTCACCCCTTTATACAATATTGGGGCAGTCTTAGGCAACAAAGTAACATACCCCTATATAAAGGGGCGAGATATGTTTCTTGCAACATTACATTCTCTACATACTCTATATGCAGAGCTTCCATTACTGTTCATCGTCATTTTATATGTGAACTGACTTAATCGTCGAAGTGCTAAAACTTAGAACCCCTATCGGCCCATTTTGTAGGTCTACGAACATGTCAGAGAGCAAATCCAAATAATGTGAACCCCGTCGAGGTCGTTTGCGCACCATCCTCCAAAACCCAAAATCATAAAACCCTCAAATCCAAAAATCTAAAATTGAAAACTCAAATTGGTAGTAAGAAGGATGTTGCTTCAATCGAAAATTGAAATTTTTGTCGACCATGGTTATTTACCGCCAACAACAATTTTTAGATCATGAGAGTAGCGTGCTCGGTGAGCTTGAATGTATATTCTGACAGAATGTGGCGACGGTACCTGCGCGAGTGATGGCAAAATGACGACATCATCTTGCATTCAGATCCAATCGACATTGATTTCATCAAGGCTTGTGCCGACTGTGATGCCCTAGCGAGAACGTTAACACATGTGGAGGCGAACAAAGTCGATGCTCGACTTCCGGCGCTGACGATGGTGGTCTGGTGGATGACGGTGTAAGAAGGAAAAATGTGGTTAAAAGAAATAAAAAGAATATAAGAACAATATTTTTAAGATTTATTGAAATAAATGACTTGAAAAATATTAAAATCCACATGTGCTCCAAAGAATCAATTTTAGTCACCTTGAAGGACACGCATGTTATTCCAGCTAGATGACATGTGTACAAATCTGACGACTTTCAAATTTTTCCATGGGCTAAGGACGAAATCGCAACATTTTTGTATACATCCGAGACAATGTCCAAAACCACTATGGCAATTTGCATTTATACCACACGATTTTAAAAATATTATAAAATACAAGATTTCAGATTTTAATTGCATGGTTACCATTTTTAGTGCTTTTATTTGTTGCTCAAGCAAAAACTTCCGTTATGTTTTTAATCACCTTCCTACAATCACACAACCTTCCTACAATCACGCAAAAAATGGAATAAAAGATAAGGTAAGTGTATTTAACCCAATAATTAGAAATCTGTTCATATCAAATAGAAAAAGAGATATAATTAGGAATCTCTTCACCCTCATTCGAAACTACGGCGTCGTAAGTCTGCAGAAATGTATATCTTATGTATATTTTATGTATATGTGGGTACTGAATGAGATCCGCAGTTCAGGGATCGAGTGTATATTTTAGGTATATTTTATGTATATGTGGGTTCTGAAATCGATTTTGAGAAACGATTGAAACTCGAGTGTATAATTAAAGTATATTTTATGTATATGTGTGTCCCGATTTGTCGCTGGCTTGAATTACGAGAATCTCGAGTGTATATTTCATGTATATTTTATGTATATGTGTGTTGTACACTCTAATATATATTGTATATACCCGCGACATGTAAATTTTTATATCTGATAGAAACATATCAATCATGTACAAAATTTTCATACCCGAAACATATAAATTTTCATATCCAAAACAACAAAACAATAATCAACTGAAAAATAAAATCAAATTTCTCATTTTTCGTGCGCGCCGGATTTGAACTTGACGATTTCTTGAGAAGGGCCGCAGTGGTGGGGTTTGCGTCAGTCGTCTTCATCGTCTCGAGGTTTTCGGAGGCTCTTGTCGATGGTGGACTTGAGGGATTTGTAGGATGTCGCCTTACTCCTAGCGGATCTGCCAATCCATCGCTCCGCCGATCTCTCTCATTTAAGTCGTTGTCGCCGTCTTAGACCGATCAGAAAAGAAAAAAAACAGAGAGAGGGAGAGAGAAGACAAAGAAGAAGAGATACGAGGAGAGAGAGAGAGAGAATGAAAGTGTCGTGATAGGGGGAGAGAGAGAGAGAGAGATAGGAAGGTGATAAGTCTACCTTTAATACGCATATTAATTACATATTTAAATTAATTATTTTTTTATAAATATTGTAATTTTGCAATTAATTTTATAGATATGGTAATTTTGCAATAAAAAATGATATATCTTATATAAGGTATAATTTTCTCAAACCACTATTCGTAAAAAGCTAATTTTATATTTTGAAACATACGCGACCAAAATTGCATTTTAAATTGTTCAAAAACTTCAGCCCAAACTCAAAAGTCAAAACTCTGACAAAATTTCGAACTCAACTCATTTAGAGCATGTTTGTTTATAAAATTTTTTTGATTTGTTTGGATTTTTTGGTTTGGTTTGGTTAATTTTGATTTTTTGGTTTGGTTTGGTTAATTTTGAAAAATGTGGTATGGTTAGGTGTTAATGGGTATATTAAAATAATATTTAAAGTAAAATAATTAAAATTGATTTGATGTAAAGTAGGAGAGAGATAATTTGAAGTGATAGTTAGTTAAAATAATGTGAGTGGATGAGTAGTGAATTAAGGTTGATGTTGTGTATATGAATGATTGATTGATATTATTTAATTATATTGATGATAGTAAAGTTGAGTTAAAGTTGAATTAGAAAAAATTAGTTGAAATAAAATGTTAGATTTTTTTTTGAAAATTCTTGTAAAGAAAAGTCACATCCAACAATCCAAAATGCAAATATGAATTATGCCTATATGGGCCCGGCTATCAAATTCGATAAATATAATATCATCAACAATAGCTTAAGATCTACACTATCTTCACAAGATAAATAAAAGAAAAAGATATAAAAGAGAAAAAAAAAAAGAAATAAAGGGCCATTATCTGTTACCCAGTCCACGTGTCACATTTATCTATTTCCCTTTTATCCCATGGCTCCACGGTAGAAGACAACTCTTCAAAATTTAGTGTCAGTCTAAAGTCCCAGAGTCTCCTTTTGAATCTCTCTAGGTGGAACGAAAATCAAAGAAAAAAAATCTGAAATTCAAGATTATATCTGTCGCCTGTCGGTCACTCTAGACCCTTTTTTAACATTTCTTTTTCGAATTTTATTTTAGCCCATTTGAATTTTCGGTGCTGCCGATGGTTGTTTGAATTTAGGGTGAAAAAAAGGTGGAAAATTTGTTCGGAGGAGAGAGATGTACGTGAGCGGCGGAGGTCCTCTGCGGAAGTCTTTCAAGGACTCGCTCAAAGTTCTTGAAGCCGATATTCAGCATGCAAATACTCTGTGGGTTTTTCTTTTCTTTCGTTTTTTCTTAAATAATGTAAAATATTTTAATTTTTGTTTCTGGAGTTGGGTTTTTTGTGTTAATTTTCTTGTGTTTGGTTTGTTTGCTTTCCTTAATTTTTTAATTTTCATGATTCTCTTGTTTAGCCTGTTTTTCCTTTTTTTTTTGTTTTTTCTTTGCCTCCTTCTCTTTTTGGCCTTTGGTTGTGTTAAATTCATTGTTTTGTAGAAACAAAATATGGATTTTTTTACAGTTATAATTGTGAGAAATCAGGTCCTGCTTATGGGTTAAGGAAAATTGTAATTTAAGTTAGTTTGAAGATGACTTTACTGGTTGCTTCATTTTGAGATAAAGGTATTTTTTGGGGTTCTTCTGACTGTTAGATAAATGAACTTTCAAAATATCTCTTTTGAACTGCACAGACCTTTTCTGTGGCTTTCTCTGGAAGTTTTTCTTCTTAACTAGATTCTTCATGAGTGCAAGATTAAAACAATCATTGTTTTCTGAATAAAAGTAAGATCAAGTTGGTATTCAGTTTTTTAGATTGGAAGTGACCTACAAAAATGAAGTCTTTGAACTCCTTCAGCAAGATTGCTGATATCCCAACAAACCTTATGTTAAAGGGTATTAAATACATGCATATAATTAAGTCGAAAATTGTAATATTTCATTCTTAGGCAAGGTTAAAGTAATCATTGTATTTTTTTTCTAAATGTAATTATCAAGTTGGTCTTCAGTTTTTTAGATTGGAAGTGATCTACAAAAAATGAAGTCTTTGAACTCCTTCAGCAAGATTGCTGATATCCCAACAAACCTTATGTTAGTGGCTATTTAAATACATGCTTATAATTTAGTCGAAAAATTGTAATATTTCATTCTTAGGTCGTAAAATCTTGTAATATTGCTGCAGGGCATCTGATTTTTCCCGAGAGTACGATGGGGCATGTCTGCAAATGAGAATATCTTACAGCCCAGCTGCGCAATTTTTCCTTTTTCTTGTTCAGTGGACTGATTGCCACCTTGCAGGTGCTCTTGGGCTGTTGAGAATTCTAATTTATAAGGTCAATCATTTGTCTGTTTAATATAATATGCTTTTACCACATTGCTTTTTCCCCCGAAATGTAAATGGCTCGTTTTCCTTCCAATTAGTGAAAATGGAAGCAAATCTTGTGATGGTACAGGTATATGTTGATGGCACCACCACTATGTCGACTCATGAGAGAAAAGCCAGCATTCGAGAATTCTATGGTAAAATTTACTGGTTACCATATTCGGTTAACTTTTTTCTTTTTTCCTGAGAACACAAATTTCTAACGGTTTTTTCGAAAACTAATTTCTCGTGTCCCAGCTGTTATTTATCCCTCTCTAATGCAACTTCAAAGAGGTGTCACTGATACAGAAGATAAAAAGCAGAAAGCTTTATGTCTTGAGAGATACAGGAGAAAGGATGAAGAAGAACACAGGCAATGCTCGGAAGTAGAGAGTGAGAGGGAAGAAGAATGTGGGATTTGCATGGAGATGAACAGCAAGATAGTCTTGCCAAACTGTAATCATGCCATGTGCTTAAAATGCTACAGAGAATGGTACTGTCTCACTTGCTTTTTATGGGATTTTTGAAGTATTGGTTTTGTTTAACCTTATATTGGTGATATGTTAACTGTGTGGTTTGTCTTAATTAGGTCAGAGTTTATATCGAGTACACGCTACACTCTCACACATACATTCTTTATCGAAAATTTATTTAAATGTTGTTCTGTGCACATATGATAATGAATTGTAGAACATCATATTTCTCATTCTTTTTTTTGTTTGTTTTTTTTTGGTAAAGATCATCAATTATATCATAGATATGTTGATGGTGTATGGTTTTCTGGTGATGAATGATGATTTACTGTTGTTTGTATGAAACAATTACTATGTTTTTTTTTTAGGAATAAAAAAATCCTTAGTAGTAATTGTCTCTTATTTATCTCTTCATTTATTAACTGCAGGCGCTCGAGGTCACAGTCATGCCCTTTCTGCCGTGACAGCTTGAAGAGAGTTAATTCTTGCGATTTATGGGTTTTTCTCGACGGCAGGGACGTTTTGGACATTTCCACTATAACAAGGGAGAATTCGAAAAGGCTGTTCATGTACATAGATAAGTTACCTCTTGTAGTACCCGAGACTCTCTTTGATGCTTATGATACCCATGTGAGATAAACTTTTAACTCGTTTGCTCAAAGGTCTTATTCATTTTCTGGATTATGGATCTTTCTTTTACTCGAGGCTTTACTGAGGAGCATGAAATCATCTCTTAAGTTAGTTCCGATTGCATGCTTAGGAAAAACCCAGCCTTGATTTATGTTGGGCTGTGGTTTTAAGTTTTAGAGGTTATGTGTGCTGGGACTTTGTATAGAAACTGTATAGGATGAAGTTTACTTATCAAAAAGTTACGATGAAATTTGGAATTTCGGCTGCTAAATGAAAAGAAATCTTATCTTGTTTGTTGGTGCATTTTGGTTTTTTCTATTTAGATTTGCTGTGTGAAATGTGGTTGAAATGCAGCTATCTTCAAGGACATGAATGATTGATTCAATTTCTTTAGTTGGATTCAATATCTTCAAGCACATTTTGGTTTTTTTGCATGCTATATTTAAAGTTGGTCCATGTAGAAAATTGTGAGATGATAATGATTGAAGTGCAATTTTGTAAGTTGGAAATATCTTCTAGGTTTTGTGAGTTTTTCTCCTCTTTGAAAGATGACTTGTTTGGTTGATAAAATATCAAATATTCTTATTATTAAGTTAGGTGTTGGTTGTTGAAATATTCCTATTATTGCCTTGAGGGATTGAATAGTGATACTTAGTGACAAAAATGTGATTTGATGGGTTCTTTTAGTAGGTGCTCTTACCATAAAAAAGCTGACAAGTGTGTGATCTAAGTTCCAATGGTAAAAATCCGGTGCTTGTGGGTGGGTGTGATCTAACCGTAAAAAGTGCTTGTGACTTGTGAGTGTGATCTAACCGTAAAAAACACGACCGAGTGTGATATCTAACTGTAGAAAATTGGTGACAGAGAGTAATTTTGTCCACTGGAAAGAGGGCACATTTGCATCAGATAATTGTGCGATTGATGCTAGAATTTCTTAGGCTAAAATTATTTTGTGTCTCGAATGTAAATTCCCCTAGCTACAAAACTATCAGCGGTTGCGCTTAATTCATGCATTGAATTGACGAGCCGTAAATCCCTTGCCTCAACCGATCCTTGAATTATCCCTTCCGAAAACGAGAGTTGTTGCCCAATTGAAAGCCACATAGAATCTATTCCTCCAGCTAATCACTCTCGTCAGGTAAGCAGATCGCCAAACTAGCCAGCTCACGAATCNCCCACGGATGCCATGCTCCCGAGATGCTTGTACACAAACGGGTCCCCGAGAGGCACTTCTTTTGCCGAGAAAGCCTTGCCAGCTTCTTGTTTTGCTATTCGGTTGAATAATTCGACGAGAAACTTCCCTTGCCGTTCGGCCACCTGATCGTGAAGCATAGAATTTGGTCGAGAGGAAAATAAAATTTAAAAAAAAAAAAGGAAAAAGAAAAAAAAGGAACAAGAAAAGGAACTATAGCATTCATATTTATTTCATACCTGAGCTAGAGCAGGAAGCACGGGCTTCCCGACCTGTTCGAGAAATCCGGCACAGTCTCCAAGAGCAAAAACGTCTTCTGCAGCCGGGACTCGTAGCCATTCATCAACACCAATCCTTTTACGGATATATCATTTTCATTTTCAGAAAATTTTAAATATACATCATGAATAGTGTTGTTAAATTAAACGAACTTGACTCGACTATACTCGAGCTCATTTAAAGCTCGCTTGGTGATAAAGCTCGTTAAGGCTTGACAAGAGAATTTTTATATAATTTTCTATAGTTTGGCTCGTTAAAGCTCGAGATCAGCTCGTTAATAGTGATAAACGAGCCGAGGTCGTGCCTGATTTCTGACTCGTTTATTTAACGAGCCTAGCTCGGGTCACCTCGACTCGACTCGGCTCATTTACAGATCTAATGATGAATAAGGAAAAAGATGGATACCTTCCACCGGGAGACTTGGGGAGATTGAGCGATTTCACAAATTCGGAAGGTCCAACGCCGGTGGACCAGACAAGTAGGCCATAAGGTACGTCACTTCCATCGCTAAGGACAATCTTGTCCGAATGAACCTCTTTAACAACACCACGGACGAGTCGAACCCCATACTGATTTCAAAACCAGTAGAAATAGCTATTATTATTATTATTATGAATATATTTTTCTTTCTGACTGATAATAATGAATGAAGAACCTATGGAGGAATAGTTTCTGAGTTCTTAGTTACCTTTGTCAAGTGCTTTGTAGCGTATTGCCTTAGCCCAACGTCGAAAGATGATAATATCTCGTTCGCCTGATAAAAGGGAAAGATCGGTTTATAAGATGATGATAATATATCGGCTTTGCCTTAAGCCCCACGAATGTATTTTTTCGGTCATCATACCTCAATGAGGGTTACGCGTATGTAGTTCTTGACGTGAGCATAACGCTGGCGAACGTCTCTCGTGATAAAATCACTCAATTCGCCGCTAAATTCAACTCCGGTGGGCCCACCACCTATAACGACACAGTGCAGTAGCCGTTCTTTTTCTTCTTCAGAAATGCCTGTAATAAAAAGATCCCGTTTATCGAAAAGTAAATGACCAAAATTATTCTAAAAGAAAGAAAGAAGATAAAACTTTACCTGGGTTTTGAGAGAGCATGAGGTTTAAGAGAAGCTTCTTCCTAATTTCTTGAGCATGAGAGACCTCACGAAGGAAAAACGCATGCTCTTTAACTCCCTTTATCCCGAAGGTCAATGGCTCAGATCCAGAAGCAATGACGAGCTTGTCATATGCAACTTTAAAACGATACGGCTCTTCAGAGAGTTTACCATCACTAACCGTCTCACAGTACACCTGATTTTTTTCACGACACAATTATTAACATTTTCAACACCACAATTGCAGAACCGGAGATAACGAAAAATAAGTGTGAAGTGCATGATGACAAATATTTTCGTTTAAGTATGTAGACTCGGTATATTACTCCACAAAATATGTATATTCGCCATGTCTTATTCGTACAACGCTCGAAGATTTTCCGAGCTTAGCAAAAGCTTAATGCTTTTGGAAGAAGTCAAGTAACCAAGAACACACACACAAATGAAAGCTACTTGGCAAAAAACTTAGCAAAAATACTCACACATGAAAGCTATTTAGCAAAAATTTGGCAAAAACACACACACATGAAAGCTACTTAGCAAAAAAACACACACACACACACATGAAAGCTACTTACTTCATGCTTGTCCGTGTCGAGCCCTGTGCAAGAAGCCAAGAAAAAATACGAATTCGGGTCCTTAGCCAATGCCACCTGTATCTGGCTCACGGGCTCAGCCACCGAACGGAACTCCAAAGTCCCAACACAAGTGGAGGCCAGCAGAGGAGTGAACACCATATGATTCCTGGGCGAGATGCAGACAACATCGTACAACCTAGTATCGATCCCTTTAAGGAACCTGCACGCTGCCCACCCGCTCCCCAGCACCACCACACGAGGCTTCTCTCCCGGTTTTGTGGCCTCAAGAGTCGGGTATTTAGTCGGCGGGCCCTCGTACTCCTCCAGTGGGACCCGCTCGGCCTGACCGAATCGGGCCAATGGGCTCGTTTTCAATCCCCTGCTCCAAAAGTTGGTGCTGGGGATGAACGTGGAGCTGCTGCCACCTGTCATCATGCTGGTTTGAGGAAGGGGTTTCGAGAGGTTAGCTGTGATTGGAGGTTGAATTCTGGGTGCGGGTGGACCTTCGCACAGGAGATCCTTTTCGGTGGAGTAGTTGGGCCGGGAGGAACTTCCACTCGATCGACGGTAGCTGTTTCTTGCTATTCTTGCTAGTGCCATCTCTTTTGAGACTGTTGAATCAAATGATTTTTCTTCTGAAGGTGGTATTTAAGTTGAAATTTGCTGTACTTCTTCTTTTTTTACTTTTCACTGCAATCAGAAATTTTGTAATGTAAAGAAATAACCATTAAATGACGAGCTAGAACTCATTGTAAAATTCTAATGAAAGGAATTCATAAACAAGAACCAGGACGAGACACTGTAGATTGGATTTTTTTTTTGTAAAGTTGGGATCTTAGCTGATGTAAATGGGGTGAAAAACCGTAAATTTTAAGGTTTTCTTCTAACCCCATTTCAATTTTCATAGAGTTTTGTGTAAATCAATCAAGAACAGAGGGGATCATCTAAGAACACATCCCCTTCAAACGGTTTGCGATTTAGCTCTAAACCTCAAGAACTTCTAATACGAAATAGATATGTATTTCTCTCATCTCTGTATGTCCATAGCAAATCGATAGATTCATCGGCACAATCTTTTCAGAATAACATCTCTGCAAATGCCACACAATATATTCGCAAATCAAACATGTAAATTGGCACAACACTGATAACAAAAGCCTAGAAACAAAAACTGCCCAATTCAAATTATTCTTCACACATTACAGATCGGCAANGAGGTACATTTCAAGAAAAAACATGAGCGAGACGAGATCTGTACCAGCCCCTGTTTGTCCGTACGCAAAACCTCATATATGCTTGTTCATATTTTCTTGAAGGTGATAGATATAAAATATATGCATATGTATAGATAGATATCTATTAGGGTTTAAACGGATGGTTTTAGCAATATGAACTTATTATGACAGTGAGATTACAGTTCACGCTTCCTACATTTGCGGAATGTTTTACTAGGTAACAATAAATAAAAATTCGAAAAAAATAATAATTTTAATATTAGAATAATCATTTTCCGCAGTAAAAAATTAAAATAAGAGAAATCAAAGTCTTGCTGCACAAGAAAGAATGGAGGAATGTACGATTTAACTTGAGGCCACGTCACAAAAATTAGCTAATTTCAATCAAATTTAGGTTGTTTTAAGGCACAATAATTTTTATTTTTTAAAAATAAATATCAATACAGAACCAATATATAATCATCGTACCTTTGATCAAATATTGAGATTTTTGGATTGTCAGTATAAGAACCATTTGGGTTGTCACATTAGGCTGTAGGTATTAAGGAGAATGTTAGACATATGTGAACGTTTTAACTTTAAGCAAGAAAATTTATGTTCTTTGGTAAAAGGAAATACTTTCATTGAACTTCAAATTAATATAATTCAAGGTATATAACTTTGACGGGCTATAAAACAATATAATCATGCTCTCCTGCAATGTAATAATATATTCAACTTAATAGGAAATTATAGTAGAATAATAGTTGGTATGTAATTTATCTTGACACTTGGCAGTTGAACATAATGTGCTTATGAAGGAACTCAAACCCAAATTGCAATGTAAGAGCTTCTAAGAAAATTAATATTAGTAGTTATTTCCAACCAGTCAAAGGTCAAAACAAGTTGCCATGCTTACGTTTTAAAGCAAACACATTTTTTATGCTGAACAAAATCCCTACAAGGTCCAAGTGACAGCATAATAATAATATTCAAAAACTCGTTTTTTTGGTCCGAGCCTCCGAGGTTTGAACTTATTCGCAAGAATATTCCAATGGCTGTCAGGTCATGCACTAGGGTAATTATAATATTCACAATTGAACCTTTAAAATTAGTATGTGGCACGTGCGTTGCACAGAAAACAGTATTACAATTTTATTATAAATTAAATATATAAATAATATTAATCATAATTTATCGATTGTTTTAAATTAAATTGGGTTGGACATGTCCGACCGGATGGACCGAAATCCGATCTATAACCAATGTATTTCGCTTGAATAAAATATTTGTTGTTGAATCTGTCAACACCAATCAGTTGGACTGGTAGGAACGATACGATTACTTAAATAAAAGTTACATTTAAAATTATTTTAAATTAAATTACATGATTAAATAAAATAGAGATTTATAAATTGTTTGGATATCTAAGTAACACATTTTATTTAAATTTATTAAAAAAAGTACTATATATATATATATATATTAAAACGTTTATAAATTAAAATCGAACAAACCACAAATGATTTAACAAAATAACTTGATTGTCTCGATGACGGTCCGGTTCTGAAAACCTTATATTTACTGTACATTAATAAAAATTATAATAAAATATTATTTTATTCACATAAATATTAATAAAATGCTATATAAATATTCATAAATCATTTAACGTGTTGTCATAAAAGTATCGTTAATATGATTATTTGAAGTTTGGATTACATCACACTAGTACAGTACCCGTGCGATGCACGGGGCTTTATTATCTCCGTCTTTTTTAAAAGGCAATTTTGTATTTAAATTGAAATTATATAACAAAGCACCGATCATTGATTATAATTAAACCTAACAAATACTTATTATAGGATACGTGTAATTATTTATATTAATCATGTTGGACTTGTAAAACAGGAATGTTTTTTAAAAATGTGGGCTTCAAAAAGTTCATATCGGCCAATTTACAATGTTGGCTTCGAAAGTTCATATCGGCCCAAACAAAACAGAAAAGATAATCCAATGATCCAGATTAGTCAACGCAAATTGACAGTTTAGATTACATTGAACATAGTATAAATAGTGAAATTATCGGACCAAGGGCTTCATTCTTCCTTCATTTTTCGCCGCTTCCAGCTTCTTCTTTCGTCTTTTTTCATCGATCTTCTTCCAACTTTTCCGTTCTAACACTGAGGGTCTTATAAATAAATATTCTTTTTTAGTTTTCATTTAATCGATGCTTTAAATTTGTTTTAGGTGTTTTGCACGAAACAAAATATGGATTGTTCAATATGAGGGTTTTTATTTTTTATTTTTGTAATTTTATGTTCGAATTTTTTGGTTTTTACAATTAATCAAAAGAATCCTTCGAATTTGAGTATGCGCCGGTAGATTTTGTTAATTTTAGTTGTTTTGCCCGAAAATGAAATGTGGAATTTTTAATTTTAAGGTTTTTATGTTCGATTTTTGTACTTAATTTATGTTTGGTTTTTTTGGGTGTTTACGATTAGTCAAAAGAACTCTTAGAATTTGAGTGTGTGTCGGTAGATTTGTTATTTTTTTTATCTGCAAAATTATTTTGTTACAAAAATTTTTTTGGCGTCCAAATGATTTTTTTCTATTAAAACTCAACTCGGCTGAAAACATACATATTTGACAGTTAATTATGTTATATCATTGATTTTGATGAATTGCACACAATTATTATGGTTTATGAACCTGCAAGTTTTTTATGCTCAAATTAATGAATGTTGATATCAATTAATTTTAAAAAAGATTGGTATTGAAATAAAACTCAAATTTTTAAAAGCATTATTTATACCAAAATTGAGCAATTTAGTTACCAAAACTAAGTATCCATGACTGAAGGCATATTTAAATATTTCTTATTTAATAAATAAAAAATTAAAACATAACTTGCCCGAAATGATATGCAATTAATGTTGCTAGATTTTTTTGCTTACTATTTTTGGTAAATAGCAATTCTTATTATATATATATATATATATATTTTCACGTAATAAAGTATTTTCAATATTAAAATTTATATTAGGTTCAATAATCGATTTGGTATGGTCAAACTGATACATAACTTAGTCACTTGGGACCAACCAAGTTGTGTCAAGTTTTTTTGGCTATTTTAAATATCACCTAAAAGTAATTCAATCAACTTAGACAGTGCCCTAATTCAATCACCCGATTGATCTAATTTTTTTTATTTTCTTTAAATATATTTAATTTTATGAAATAAAAAATATTTTATGATTCATAACATAAATGTTTACACCAAATGATAGTATATTAAGATTATAAATTATGTATATAAAGATAAATTAATTATTTTTACTTTATTCATATTAATAAAAAATAAACATAGTAATTATCAAAAAATTAAGATTAATTGATTGATTATGCAATTTAAACAATATTTTAAGCATTCAATAATTTTTTTTTGAAAGGCACAAATATAAAGACCGGAATTCTAAAACTTTTGCTATATTTTGAATTGCGTTTTTATAAAGTGATCGAAATTTTAATGTTGTTTGTTGTTTATAAGAAAAAAAAAATGAAAATGAAAATATGCACACTTAATTGATCTTAGCCAGATTTTTTAAATAATAAAATGAACTAAAGCCCGAAATTTAAGGTAACATTTAATGTTGTATGATTTTTGAAAGAAAAATAATAAACTTTACTATTTATAGGTTGCATTAAATTCTAACCTATTTTTTTGCTACTATTTTTAATAAATATGGTAATTCTTATTATAGATATATAGATATAGATTAAAAAAATTGACACAATCCAATAAAAAATAAAAGAATAAAAAAATAAATAAAAAATGACACAATTATTCCAGAAATCTTGGGTTGTTTTCAAAGGAAGCTTCATTAATTTCTCCATACTCTATTCATAACAACTTATCAAAGACGACTAAAGTAATTGGCTCATTTTGAAAAGAAACTTATCTAAATTTTCCATAATTGGCTCATTAATTATATGCATAACACGTGTATATGATGATGTCATATTTGCACGCATGTCATGCATCCAACGGTATGAAACATGACGTGGAATATGAAAATGGAACAAGATTTGATTCCAAACCCGAAACGAATAGAATTTAAATATATTTGTAATTTAAGTTAGTCAAATGTTTCATAATTTTAGTAGTTACTCCAAAGCACTAGAAATTGACACATATGGTTACGAAACGTCAATATTAGACATTATAAGAAGTCGAAACATAAGATCGACACATTATGAATTTATATTTTATACATGTAGGATCCGGACAATAAATATAAGTAGATATGGCCAAATGACGGTTCCGGGCTGTGGGTTTGGATGCCCTTAACCAGCCTGATCATATATACGGGTCAGTTTAATGGACCATGAACTGCCGGTTTCGGCACAACC